AAGCCTAGGCAGAGATGGAGAGAGTGTACCTGAATCGTTTGGCCTCTTGTATAAAACTTGTGACCAAAATTCATACAAGAAAATGTGATTTGGTTTCTTGGAAAGGAGACTATTTCAGAACTTAGACAAAATGTCACAAAGAAAGAACAGCCACATTAAACAGTTTTCTAGAATCTTTTATCAAACTATACTTACTTGGAATCCCACTTCTGTTTTACAAGTACCGATTACCTCTGTGCTTTAAGACAGTTTTTTTTTTTTTTTTCTGAGAAAAAGATGTTCAGCATACAGTGTGCTTAAAAATGCTGGATGTCTTAGACACACATAGCTATTTTGATTAATTTATAAATGCAGAAGAGACCTAATTGACATACACTTGGTTTACAAACCTGCTGATAGAAAGTGGGTGGACATTTCCAGAGAACTGGAATCTAATTCCTCCAAGTCTAAAAGCTTGATGCTGCAAGTAAGTAAAACCCTAAATTATCCTACTGTGTAATAAGATAAAAACTATGTCATTATTAGGTTTTTTATGAATCATAAATATTTTCTTTTTAATTAGTCCTCAACTACACATTCTTAATTTTTACATCTATGTATTTTAAACATATATGATAATATACCCTAAAAATGAATCCAATAAAGAATTAAAAATGAGTTAAAAACATACTGACAAGTTTTTGCTTCTGGCCATAAGTGTAACTGGTGCTGGGTTAGCCCTGCTACCATAAACAGGTAGAAAACTATACAAAATGGAAAAAAAATCTGTTTTAGATATTGATCTACAGGTATCATAGGACTGTAATCTGTGAGAGAGATGTTATCCTATGATAGCCCCAGGTGTCTGCCTGGATGAATTTTCTGATTCTGGCACAAGGATATTGCAGCCTCACTGAACTAAGGATCGAATTCAGGAAGAGTGAGACCACTGGAACTTGCAGGCACAAAACCAAAGGAGGGGTACCACCCATTAAGAGTCCTGGGAATCTTCTTGGTGTCCCCCTGAATCTTAGACTGATTATTAAGCTGTACATGCATAGACCGAGACTCCATGACTCAAGCTGTGAACAACCACCAGGAACTTGTAAGCTGACAACTACTAAAGATTTAACAAGTGGGAGATTTTCACGTTCTAACCAGTTAAAGTGGAAAGGACTTGTGAACAACCAGGGTATTCAGCAAAGACCCCAGAATGGCCATTCATGCTTTTGCAGTATGACTGGAGACCTTCCCCAACAAAGCTTGAACATAAGCCTTGAGTGGATTAAGCTGACCTACAAAATGAACAGCCTCAAAACTTTTTAAAGAAAGACCCCCCCAAAAAAAATCCAGATGGCATTCAGAATGTTCAATATCCAACTTTAAAAAAGTACTGGATGTGTAAAGAAGCAAGAAAATATGACTTATAACTAGGAGAGAAGTTAGTTAATAAAACAGATCTAGAAATGACAGTAGTAGAATTAGCAGATATGGACTTTTCAAAAGCATTTATGAAAATAAATGGATTTTAGCAAATGTTAATGTAAATGAACAAAGAAACAGAAAATATAAAAATAACCAAGTATTTTTCTAGAAGTGAAAAATAAGCTCTCTGATTCAAAAAATTCTCTACATGGGCTTAATAACAGATTGGATACTATAAAAGAAAATATCAGTGAATTTGAAGACAGCATGTTGAAGCTAAGGCATGGAGAGAAAAAAAAAATTGAAACAAAAGCAAACACAGCCTCATTCAACTATAGAACTACTAAGTGACCGGATATGAAGTCTTAGTGTAGGGGTGAGGAGATACAAAAATTATATGAGGAAAAAGCAGCCAAAAATGTTATGAATTTGATAAAATAGACAAATCCAAATATTCAAGAAGTTCAACAAATATGAAGGAGATGCCTCCAGTTAAAGCAAATTATTATCAATTTGCAGAAAACCAAAGATAGTAAGGAAAACTTAAAGGCAGCCAGATATGAAAGCACATTATACAAAGGGGGAAAAGCATAAGGAATGATGACTTCATCTGAAACAGTGAAAATCAGAAGACAGTGAAAAGACATCTTCTTATGAAACCTACCTTGACTGCCATATTTAAAACCACAGTCCCTCCCCACACACCCTGCCTCCCTTTCCCAGGCCTGTTCATATGTTCTGTATGACATTTACCATTTTATAATACACTGCATTGTTGTTGTTGTTTAGTGGCTAAGTCACATCCAACTCTTTTGCAACCCCATGGACTATAGCCCTCTAGGCTCCTTCTGTCTATGGGATTTCCCAAACAAGAGTTTTGGAGTGGGTAGTTATTCTCTCCTCCAGGGGATCTTCCTAATCCAGAGATCAAACCCGCATCTGCTGTGTCTTCTGCATTGGTAAATAGCTTCTTTACCAGTTGCGCCACCTGGGAAGCCGCAATTTATCTTTAGCACTTAGGAAAATGTCTTGCACATAATAGCTGCTTAGCAAATATTTCTTTTATGAATAAATGAAAGAATAACAGTTGTTGGTAAGTGCATTAGTTAAGAGTTCTCCAGAGAAACAGAACCAACAAGATATTTGAATATCTTATATACATATATATTATATATATACATTTTAACATATAACATATTAACATACAATATAATTATATATATTATATTTTATATCCTGTTGGTTTGTATATTATAAATATATATGTATATATATGTATATAAGGGCTTCACCAGTGGCTCAGTGGTAAAGAATCTGCCTGCAGCTCAGGAGATGCGGGTTCAGTCCCTGGGTTGGGAAGATCCCCTGGAGAAGAGCGTGGCAACCCTCTCCAGTATTCTTGCTGGGAAAATCCCGTTGATAGAGGAGCTAGGCAGGCTGAAGTCCTTAGGCTTGCAGAGAGTTGGACACAACTGAGCACACAATATATAGGCAGAGACAGAGACATTTTTTTGAAGGAGTTGACTACTGTAATTATGGAGGCTTGACACTTCCAAAATCTACAGGGTAGGCTGGCAGGCTGGAAACCCAGGAAAAGTTTCAGTTCAGAGTCCAGAGGACACCTGCTGGCAGAGTTCCTGCTGGCTGGGGAAGGTCAGGCTTTAACTGATTGGTTGAGGCAGGCTTTAACTGATTGGTTGAGGCGCATTACATTATGGAGGGTAATCAGCTGTACTAGAGTCCACCAGTTTAAATGTCAACCTCATTCAGAAAAACACTTTCACAGAAACATCTAGAATAATGTTTGACCAAATATCTAGGTATCATGGCCTAGCGAAGATGGCACATATAATTCACCTTCAGAATAGGACGTGGAAAATAACTGATATGTGAGTGTAAGTCAGTAAAATCACTTAGGAAGATAATTTGACAACATCTGGTGAAGTAGAATATGTGCATATTGTATCACTGAGCAGTTTTACTTGTAGTTAGAAAGTTATAACCAACCTAGATAGCATATTAAAAAGCAGAGACATTACCTTGCCAACAAAGGTCTGTCTGGTCAAGACTATGGTTCTTCCAATGGTCATGTATGGATGTGAGAGTTGGACTGTGAAGAAAGCTTGAGTGCCGAAAAATTGATGCTTTTGAGCTGTGGTGTTGGAGAAGACTCTTGAGAGTCCCTTGGACTGCAAGGAGATCCAACCGGTCAGTCCATCCTAAAGGAGATCAGTCCTGGGTGTTCATTGGAAGGACTGATGCTGAAGCTGAAACTCCAATACTTTGACCGCCTCATGTGAAGAGTTGACTCATTGGAAAAGACCCTGATGTTGGGAGGGATTGAGGGCAGGAGGAGAAGGGGACGACAGAGGATGAGATGGCTGGATGGCATCATCGACTGGATGGACATGAGTTTGAGTAAACTCTGGGAGTTGGTGATGGACAGGGAGGCCTGAGTGCTGTGGTTCATAGGGTCTCAAAGAGTTGGACACGACTGAGCGACTGAACTGAACTGAACTGACTGATGTACCCCAGGAAACATGTATATGAAGGCAAAAGTGTTGCTTGTAAGAAGGACAAAAACCACAAATGAAGAAAATGGAAATAATCTAAATGCTCATGTGGTAGGAAGATGAATCAATTATAGTGTTTTCCTAGACTGGAATATTTTACCTCGGTTAAAACCAGTGAAGCAAATATACTTGTATCAACATAGATTAATTTTTAAAATATTGAATGAAAAAATTGCAAGAGGATATATATAGTCTGATACTACTTATATCAATTTTGAGAACTCAAAACAGTGTTATTTGTTGCATTAGTATTTATCAAGATTCTTTTTGCTACCTAAGATTCTTCTGTTTAATATTGTAAAAGATAGCTGCTGAAGCACAGCCTTTTATTTCTGCTGCCTTGTGTAGAGGGGACTAAAGATCCATGTAAAAAGTTGTTCATTTGTTCAATAGAAACTTGTTACTGTGAACATTATGAACCACAAGTGAACTTTTGTGCATTCACGCCCATTATGCTAATTCTTATGTATTTAGTACAGCTTTTAAAATGTGTAACCCATGACAAAAATTCAAATTTAGGATATTAATATTCAGAATGACAGATTGAATGTATTTTTCAGTTAAAGAATAGACTCTATTTTTTTAAACTTTTGAAAAGCACAATTGGCATAGGTTATTACATTAGTTTTAGGTATATGACATAGTGATCCAACAATCAAATATATTACAATAAATGATCACCATGGCAAGTCTCGTAACCATCTGTCACCATACAAAATTATTACAGTATTATTGACTATAAAGAATAGGCTCTAAGTAAAAGTCATTTTGAGTCATGACTTTCAGTTATATATACTGATATTTTCAACTTAAATATTTCACTATGTTTTGTTAAAATAAAGTGATTAACTGAAAAATAAGTTAAAATTGATGTTGTCTTTTTTTCTAACTTTCTTATCCAGTCATAAGTTTGGGGTAAAGATATACCAGTGAATTTTTTTTTTTTTAACTTAATGTGTAACAGTGTTCTCACAAAAAATATATTCTACTAAGTCCCCTGTGCTCTTTTTGTTTCCTTTGTAGTTATCTGACGACGGTCGCTATGTCTTATTGTCGATAAGGGAGGGATGCGATCCTGTAAACAGACTCTGGTACTGTGACCTCCGGCAGGAGCCCAACGGCATCACTGGTAAGCTGTCTTTCAAACACAGATGATTATTCCAGAGAGCCCCACTAAAAAGCAATTATGCCGGTCTTCTAATTGATTTCCCAAGAAACCTTCTTCCATTTAATCATGTCATCTCAGGTCTTATGATCTTTTCTTTTGATATTATTCCTTAAAATGAAAAAAAATTGGTAGGTCAAGGCTAACCATATTTTTTGTATGTTTCTCTGTGTGAGAGTATCCTGTCTGTATTGCAGATGAAGAGTGTTCAGGAGAAGCTGGCCCTTTGATCTGTAAAGTATTATTACTGTCTAGATGTAATGGTGCAGACTGTCACAGGAGGGAGATCAGACACCAGTGACAATTTATCAGGCTAATATGTCATCATAAGACAGCTTCTCAGTACTGGACACACATGAAGTATTAGCTTGACTTGCTTCCTGAAACTGTAGGTATGAAGATAGGACCAGCCAGTTGTGAATTCTGGAGATGGCTTATTTTAAATGTTGTTTTCCTCCAACATTTATATCATATCAGCACCATCATCAAGCATTAAAGCTTTTCAACAGCACTATTTACTGTGCTGAGAATTCCCAGACCCAGAAACTATGAGGGATATTAGCATCCACTGCATGAGCACACGCTTAGTTGCCTCAACCATGTCCGACTCTTTGGGACCCCACGGACTAGAGCCTGCCAGGCTCCTCTGTCCATGATATTCTCCAAGGAAGAAGACTAGAGTGGGTTGCTATACCTTCCTCCAGGAGATCTTCCCGACCCAAGGATCGAACCCATGTCTTCCTGCGTTGCAGGCAGATTTTTTACCACTGAGCCCCTGGGGAAGCCCTTAGCACCCAGATAATGGCACAATTACCCCATACTCTGGCTAATATGAAATAAATACATTTTAAGGATGTATATGTTCAGTCTCTCAGGTGTTTACAACTCTTTGTGACCTTATGGGCTATAGCCTGCCAGGCTCCTCTGTCAGTGGGAATCTCCAGGCAAGAATGGGTTGCCATTTCCTACTTCAGGGGATCTTCCTGACCTAGAGATTGAATCCACTTCTCTTGCGTCTCCTGTATTGGCAGATGGACTCTTTATCACTAGTGCCACATAGGAAGCCCCATATTTCAGAGATGGTTGACACAAATTTTTAAAATATACAATATTGTACTCATGTCTAGTTGTTGATTAGATTCCCTCATTTATTAGTATTTTATCTATATTGCATTATAATCAGAAAATATATACCATTTTATGTTATTAATTGGGTACGGCATCATTTTAAAACTTCTTTGAGCAAGATCCGTAAAGGAAAAAGATACATCCATTTTGATCTCATGACTGCTACATCCACCTTGGTTTTCACATTCTCTGAAAGATGCACGCCACTGCTCAGGAACCACTCACCTGAGCTGCAAGTCCAGCCCTGCACAGAGCTGAGCATGGACGGCCGAATCTTAGACAAGCTGACAGGTGTTACTGTGCTGTGGTCCTCCCACTGTTTCCTGCTTGGGCCTAGGATGGTGGAAGGGACTTTGCCTTTCTCCAGTTCATCAAAAATTTCAGTTACAGTGTCTTCCTCCAGACAGCACTGCTTTCATTTACTATTTATTACTCCATTATATCTTTAAATTATTAGTAGGCCTGTTATTAAAGGATACACAAATTGCTTAATTGACTCCAAATGCAGAGAAAAAATTTCCTCCACACCTTCGCACTCTGAACTATTTCTGTGTCCACTTTCATAATAAACAGTCCTACTTTGAATGAGACTTAACAAATGCCAGTGCCTCTGTTTTCTTCCTGACCACTTAGCGTCCTTACCTTTTTTTCCCCACTCTTTCTCTCTGCCCCATGTTGTCAACATTTATGAGGAATTAACGAGGAGGGCATGATACGCAGAGATTGAGATTCTAGGAGGAAGGCAGTGTAGAGGTGCACTGGGCCCTCATAAATAAGATTCTAGTCCTTGCAGCCATGAATGAACATGAAGAATTAAAGTGGGAAGCATTTTAAAAAAACCCTGAAGGCTATGTTCAGGTTGGAAGATACTTAGAGAATATGCCAGGTCCTGGCCTTCCTTCCTAAAACTTGATCTTTCCTTGACTTATGAGACCATTGTCTTTGTTTTCTAGGTGATTTTTGTGTAGCTTAGGTGAAAAACCCAGCAGAGAGTAATCACTCAGTAAATTTAGCAATTATTGTTTCCCAAATTGTTCTCTCTCTTTTTAAAAAAAAAAAAATTCTTCTAGAGGAACTTTAAGATTATTTTGCCTTGATCTGAACAAAACCCAGCTATATGTTTGACTAGGACTACGTGTAAATCTTCATATTTATTTGGGACTGTACCTCTGAGTTATATAGGAAACTACATATTTCTCACTAAAGTTATTGCTAGGTATTGTATATTTGTGAAATATCAATGGTTAGTGAGTGTATCTGTCAAGGTTTAACCAGAGGAGCAGAACCAGTAGGGGATATATATTAAGAGATTTATTGCAAGGAATTGGCTTACATGATGAGGGGGCTGGCTGGCTAGGAAAGTCTGAGACCAGTAGGGCAGCCCATCAGGAGGGACAGGCTGGAACTCTCAGGCAGAGCCTGACGCTGCCAACCACAAGTGGAATTTCTTCTTGTTCAGGGAAGCCTCAGCTCTGCTGGAAGGCTCAGGTCTACCCAGGCTATCTAGGATAATCTCCTTTACTTAAAGTCAACTGATTATGGCCTTTGATCATATCTATAAAATACCTTCACAGTAACACCTCGATTAGCATTTGATCAGTTAACTCAGGACATCAGTTGAGACAAGTGGATGTATCAAAAAGACCTTCCCAGTGAGTTCATGGAAAACCATATGGAAAGGAATAGAGCAAACAAGTCTTACAATAATAACCTGATACCGTTTTTTAAAATGAGAATACTCAACTGACCTGTGTGTGGAATTCATTGAGTCAAAAGTATAGAATATCCTGCATATAGGAAAACACAATGTACGTGAATAAGATAGATGTATTTTAAGATGTTGAGTTGCACGCAGATGGATTGGGAGCAATTTGTAGAGTGTTCTCCAGTGATAGCTGCTAAATTCTGGGTATGGTTCTGGGCCTGTCTTTTTTTTTTCTTTTTTGCTTTACTAGCATTAAACCTATGAATAACATAAGCCTCAGAGGAGTTCTTTTGAATGGCAGTCCTAGGATTCTGAAAGCTCTCAACAGTTGCAGTACTAAGAAAATGAACTGAAAATCAGTTCCCACTCTTCTGATCAAAAGTCAATTAATTGTGTAGGTCAAGATTAGAAAGATCTAATGGTAGAGTGGATGTAGTGTGTGTGTGTTTTAATTGATTGCTGATTTTTTATGAGTTAATTATATGATTGGGGCTTCCTACGTGGCTCAGCGGTAAAGAATCCGCCTGCCAATGCACGAGGCACAGGTTCAATTCCTGGATCGGGAAGATCCCCTGGAGTAGGAGGCTACCCAGTGCAGTATTCTTGCCTGGGAAAATCCCACGGATAGAGGAGCCTGGCAGGCTACAGTCCCCGGGATTGCAAGCAGTCAGACATATCTGAGCTACTGAGCACACTTGCACAATTACATGATTATGACTGGTTAGAAAAAGCTAGTGCTGTGGGTGAGTTTAACTGTTGAAGACACTGAGTATGTTTGGTTTATAACAGGAGAGACATAGAAGATTGATACTGTGATTGTTAAATTTTTTAAAATAGTTCCTCTTCATTACAGTTGGGTATATTGAGACAGTAAGACTTTAAAATCTCAACTGTACCACTAAATAATTGGTGACCCTGGGAAAGTTATCTTCATATTTGCACAACTACAAATGAGGCAGTGGTACCTACTTTGTGATACCTACTTAGCAATCGTGAAGAGTAATGAAAATGCACAGAAAAGGGCTTAGCAGGGTTCCTGGCATAGAGTGGATTCTCACATATGCCTTCTTTCTTTATCCATTTGTTTTTTGACTGAAAGGGGAATATTTGGAGTCATCACACAATGGTTTTAGGTAGTAGATTAAATAGATTGAAGATGCCCTAAAAATAATGTACCTTTAGTATCAAAGCTGCTCTAAACACAGATATTGGTATTATTTTATGTAAAACCCGATTCATAATCAGCAGAGTCCTTATATGGAAGAAAACATGAAGAGGTGTGCCTCTCATGGTGGACATGTTTAATTTTTCAGGTTGATAACTGAAACTTCCAGAGTGCATATACCTAGTTGGGAACCGTGACTACCACTCAATCTTTTTCTTGCTGTTCCCTTGCTGCTCCTGCATTTTTGTTGCCTTGTTTAAACTAAGAGGAAGAATAATATTTAAGTTAAATGCTAAATGTGCTAGTTAACTGAAATATTAGGTGAGTTAGACTGAATAGCTGGTGACTGAAAACTAAATCCAGTGTTATGAAATCAATATTATACTGCGTAAATTGATACCCCTTGTGATAACCTCAGGCCTTTCTGTTACCATTTTAATCGTGTTTACCTTAAAGGCAGGGAGATTTACCAGCTTTTCCCTTATACATTAATTCGTTATTTATTAGGACATCACTAAATATCCTGTCTGGAAAACTAAATAATTTCACTAAGGAAGCTCTTTTGTAACATTTCTGTCATCTTTGTTTTCCAAGAAAACCTGCCTGTGTGCATTTTGAAATGAGAAGCACCAAAAAATGGCCAGTGGCTACTTAATACCGCTGAAGAAGATAACACATAGGAACACAAAACTATATAAACATAGAATGGAAGAAATCTTGAGAGTTAAAAGTATGCTCTCTGAGTGATTTACATTTATACCCATTTGATTTTCTGTTCAAGGACTAGCTGACCTTGCTCTGTGCTACTCTGAGCAAGATCTTTCTTTTACCCTTGCCTCTCTTTGGAGAACCTCACTTCTGCCATTTACATTTGCAGTATTTTTACTTAATAGTAATATGACCACATTTCTTGCAAACTGTGGGCCGTGGATGTTCACAGGAACTGCAGTTGATGCTGTAGCTGCT